ATAAATGGTAGTCTCTCTCCTGTCGATACTGGTAAATGCAGTTGCATTATGCTGTGGACGTCAGCGGCCTGCATTGGGAGCGTGACATGGTCGCAAATCGATAATCTGTATGCTAGAGCTGTGTACAGAGCCCGGCAGGCCAATGGAGAAGATACACAAGGTCAAATGAGTTCCAGCACGAGAGGAAATTCCAACCTTGCGCCGGTTAACGACACACACATTCCTTTGAATCACGTTTAGCTTATGACACAATAAACATGAAACAGCCTCATCGATTTTGCAAAAAGCTTTCAAGTTTCACATTCATGTGAATCAGGTGCATCTTCCACCAGGTGCACCATCCTCATGAACCTCATGAAAAACCAGGTGCAAGAAAATAATCAAAAGGCAGCTGTTTGTTCCCAGCCGACCTAAAAGGGCGAACAAAGAAAACACATTCAATAATGGGGGTATCGAAACTAGACGTCTAGTGAGCTCCGACACAATCCGTGTTTACGTGCACCCGACATTTGTAAACAAGTACTAGCGTAAACTTCACAATTTTTCCTCAATCAACCCAAATCACAGCGAAGAGAATAAACCTAAACGCCGCTGCCGAACGGGTAGGGTAAGGGCGGGTAAGAGTACGCGGGCGATAAGAGTACGCATCAGCTGTTTCGGTTGCTTAGCAACGCGGGTTTGTCGAGTTCATGAAGTGACATGAAGCCGCCAGTGCGTGCATGTCACCAACGGAACGTGGGCGTTGAGCGGCGACGCTGTTGAGTTTAAGGCGACGAATATTATTTTCGAGCGTTATGATATTATTATGATATGGTACAATAATTTTGATACTTGGCAGTTGAGATAAGGTACATTTCCGTGATTGTTGTGGGAAACTTGTGAGGTTATCTGGGGAAATACTGTACAGTGCAATATTCTGTTTGCGAAGTTTTGCACAACGTTTCGGGGTTGTTTTGTGCGCGAATTGCATGTACGGTAAGAGGACGCACTGTTCAGGAGGGTGAGAGTACGCAGAATTATACATTAAATCGAATATACAGAAATATAGAATTATTCATCTATCGCCCAATGACGATTGTTTTGTAAGTATATCATCAATGGAGCACTGTGATGCAGATGCGTACCCGAAATTCTTCCAAATACGAGTTATTCTCCTTTTTGATTGTGCATTTTTTTTAAAAGAAACACACGACATGATTATTTTCTGATTTATAGACTTGAAAGATTTATTTTGTTTTTCTTTTAGGATACTAGAATTAACTTAAATGCCTTCTGAGTTTGAAGTTAAGCATTTGGACAGTGCAAGCTGCTTAGGTGTGTGTTCATATGCTTGCGTACTCCACCCGCCTGGCGTGCGTACTCTTACACACCCCATATGTTAAGAGTACGCAAGTGCAACGGTTCAGAAAATGTCAGTTTTAGACCACTTCCATTTACGCTGAAGGATCGTTGCCCCATGGGTTGATGGCTAATTCAATGAACTTTAATATTCCCTATTAGCGATTTCTTTCCTTCAAATATTAAACAAATGAGAGCAAGAAATCCACTAAGTGCGTACTCTTATACGACTTCACCCTATTCCAACGTTAGCGAAGCAGATGTAGCGCCAGTCGGCCGGCGAGCGCGACTGGAAGGTAGACTGTACCGCAGCGCTTCACTGCACTGCGGGACAGCATACCCCACAGTGAGTTCGACGCAGACTCAAAACGGCCGTAAGGACTAAAACGAACGGCAACTCTTACAGACAAGCCTACGTAGAGGTGACGCGCAGGTTATTATGGCTACGGTGCCAGGAACATACTGGCTGAACGAATTCATAGCTTCGTTTCCAGATCATGGATAAAAAACATTGCTTTAATATATTTTAGCTGATTAGTTATGGCTTATACCTTCAAGCTCTGAATGAGCAGGCATCTTCATCCGTCCAAAATTATCCTACCCACCTCGTGTTCAGCCTAGCATATCTGTAATTTGGTATGTCTCTCAGTCACAGCAGGGGATCCGGCAAATGTTGTACGCATTACTGGAACTTCAATACGGCAATATGCCTGAACGTGAACCGTCTAAGATATTGAAAGCATTTCAGTATGTGAAATGCATTTTCATGTAGCTTAAAAGCCTCTTCACTATAAATATTGAATATAAAGGCATAGGCAATACTATACAGAGCCAACGGTGTTATATAAAGAAGCGCATTACACATCGCCTAGCACGCCTTAGCGCCATCTAGCCAACTTCCTTCTCCCTCCCCGGTGAGCGAGCGAGGAGGTCAACTACAATGGTCTCCCAGATAGTTCAGACGGCGCCTGTCACCCCTTCACGGCTGACCGGCCGTGAAAAGGTCACCGGGTGACCGGCTCTTCCGCACCGGGCCCTCACCGAGAGATAATCCACACCCCGGCCACGTCTGTCCAGACCCCGACTCCGGAGAACAAATGGCCCACTCCTGCCGGTTCCATCAGCGCAGAAACGACACAATTAGTGCATTTATCATGTTCAGTTCACTCCCTTGCAGCTCAGCTAAATTTATTCCTTAATTGCACTCCTTTCAACCAGCAAACCATGGCTGTTGGCCGTAGTGTAGCGTCGACCCAATGCACCCGCACATAAAATGGCCGAGCTTTCAGCGCTGCCGGCGTGGAATCACCGGACGGGAGCGGGACGCCATCGGTGACGACTGACGCGCTCCAGGCCGACACCAGGGCCATAAAGGGACGCCGGGAGCGGCGACACACGATCCCCGCTCCGGACTGACGACCCACCGCCGACCCGACAGATCGTATGGCGAGATCGCGGCCAGGGTTCGCCGGTCATAGTGATGAATGGATGTTCAATAGCAAGCGATGTCTCCGATTACGTGACAGACTAGCACGATGAAACGTATAACACAAGTGCATCCTATGTGATGCGTCTTGAGGTGGATCGGTTTAAAAGATGCGTCTGAAAGTGCGAAAGGACATTGCAGATCCGATCCGCTTTTCACATTGACATGACCTTGTATAAATACGAATACAAATTACAAATACAAATACCTTGTCGCATCTGTGACCTTTTTTATAAATTTAGCTCGAATGTTTGAATGGACGGATTGACAGAGCCGGAGTCCACGCTAAGCAGAGCTTGTTACGTAGACCCCGACCCCTACCGTCCGATCGCGCAGTTCCGGGTAACGGGAGAATTTAGATGTCAAAGTTTAACGTGCCCTTCAAAGCCGGACACGGCCTGTCCCACTCAACTGACTTCAACTGGCTGCGGCTGCTCCCACCAACCGCAGACCATCCCCGTCAGGAGTCTCATATATCGAGCGCCGGAGCGTCTCGAACCCGGGCTCTCACTACCGGGAGTCCGATGCTCTACCAACTGAGCTACGGGACAGGCAATTATTGACCTTGATCTATTATCTGAAATAAGCGCTTCCCCCGGTCGCCTGAAGCAGATTTTCCAATGCCGCTTTGCACAGCACACTGCGACCACCAGCCAGCTACAGAGATAACAACGGAACAATATTTGTTTGTCCCCGGACCACTGCGTTCCTTTGGGACCCAGAGCCGCGGCGGAGGGGGAGGCAACAGGTTGGCTGGGTGGGCCCGAGTGCACGAGAGCCGGAGATGGGACACAGGAGTGGTCCCGCAGCGCGCTTGTATGAACACAACAGCGCGGATGTTGGATCCCTTGAATTGAAATGTCACTTTACTAAAAAAAAAGAAGCTCATTAATAACTTCTTCATCAACGCGTCTTAAATACAAGATACATTTTACCGGAAATGTCGAAGCCCGAAGGCAAAACAATGTCCCACATAACATCATCAAGCGAGATAGCGCTTACGAGCCAAACCAGTGATTATTTTCACAGCAGCGCGGACCGGTGCCAGACCAATAATTACACGGAAATTGGTAGGTCACGGCCGAATAACCAGCGGAAATCCCAGGCAGCGAGTTGCCACGGGCCGGGGCGCTTGTTTACCACGTGCGCGCTCGAGTTGCCAGCCGCCTCCACACCGGTAGGTATTCCGGCCGGCGCGGCGTCTCGGGGCCGCGGTGACGTGGCGCTCATCAGGAGACGATGCCGGGCTTCCCGCTACTCGGAACCCAATCAGCGGAACACAACTGACGTCCCTCCGCCCGTCGAAACCACCGCCCTTCGCGGTCGGCCGGCGCAAACAAGCTAACGAGACTCGCGGCGTTCGGCAGGGATGGATGTGGGAAAGGGAGGCTGTTCGGTCCAGAGGAGCGGCGGAGAATCCCAACATTAGAGATGGCAAACGATGTGCGAGCGGCGGAAGGGGGGAGGGGGGACAGGAAGGACGGAAACGATGGATGGAGACGGGAGACGGGAGACGACATTTGCAGACGAGGGACCGATGACAGCAGAGACGGCCAAACGGCATTCGACAAGCGTTTCAAACTAGGGAAAGATAGGGCAAACTAAGACGGTGGGCGGATACGGGACAGAGATAGCGGATAGGGTTGACTGGTCAATGATGCGGATTAAATCTCCCGTGAACAGCCCGAAAGGGATATCCCCCAGCTCCGAAAAGAAGGAGATGCGAGCAGACTACACCCGGAGGGCGCCCCTTGAAGACAGATAAGTGAGCCGGCAAACAATGTAAAATGTGCATCAAAATAAACAAATGCCAGCGATGGAAGTGATTATAACGGAAAACTTTACGATGTTTACTGGAAAGTTCACATTTTGTGAGCCACCTCAAGCAATTACAAGTAACAACTACGCTGCAAAACAACCGACATTTTCCAGAACTGAAACGGTAACCAAGCAGGTTAAAAAATAGAAGATCTCGACTGTCAAAAACCTGATTAAATCCAGTTATGAAAAAATTAAAGGGGAAGGATGGAAACTTCTATATATTAGGCTTGAATACAAAGAAACAAAAACATCGCCTTCAAAACGGTCAACTGTGACAAAATTCGCAGCAGATTGCCCCAGAGCAGTCAGCAGGACGACAGAAACACTGGCCCACGGAGAGGCTGTGGGCACCCACCTGTCTCGGAGCATCTCCTCGCCGCTGTGCCGTTTGGTGTGCAGAGTGCCCTTCTCGGCGGCTGGCGGCGGCGCCGGGTCCTGCTGGCCGCTGCCGCCACACTCCGTCACTGGAGGTCAGACGGGTCACACGGGGTCACAATTAGGTCACACAGAAGTATCTTCGGTGAATGGTAGTAAAAGAGGACATTAGGTTACAAAAGATCACGGGTGAACAAAAATGTCGCACGCGGTACGGGGTCACAAAACGTGACACAGGGTCACGATAGCCCGTCATTTGGATTCCTCAGAAGTTACAACGTCACACATAAAGTCACACATGAAGAGCTATCAGACATGGTCCGTGTTTAGCAGCTAAAACCAAACGAGGCTACCGATCTGTTCATATCGATCACTCAAGGTGTAAAATAGAAACCAACGACTGACGCCCAGGACTATTCACCGGTCGGTATTGATAAAAAACTAAGAAGTTGGTTACATTTACCTGCCACCCCTACACACGGGCGGGGCCGTCAGGTTTGCCAGAACCATCCCACGGTCTACCGACCGCCCCCTCCCTGGCCACCCAGGCAGGCCCAAACGGTACCGCCCTGCTCGGGTGTCGGGTGCACGCCACTCAGTGTCACCGCCCGACTCTGAGACTGCCAGACGGCCTTTCAGCGGTGACGGCCCAATCTACGGCTGTGGTAACGACTCCGTGCGGGTACCGAGAGAGCGCCGCTCGATTTCCTCAGCGGAATCTGATCCGTCCAGACGGCGACGTTCGATGGGAACGGGTCTGGCTAGACCGAAGGACACACTAGCGGTGCAGCGAAAATGCTAGTGATCGGTGAGTGGCTATGGGTTGGCTGAACCGATCAGTGAATACATATGAATTGGGTAAGTCGTTGAGTGAATATGAGAATTGGCTGAGTCGTAGAGTGAGTTCAGCTGGCTGAGCCGGTGACGGACTGAGTTGGCTGAGTCGTTAAACGACTAGGAGTTAGCTCAGCCGGTGAGCCTGCGCTCGCTACATCCTGAGCGTTGGGCGCTGCACTGCCCGGGCGCTGCTCCAGCCAGACTCCCTCCGTCGCCCCGCCGGGGCTCCGTCGGGGGCAGGGGGGTGTGCCACTCCGGGTCGGCCACAACTCACCCAAATCGCACCATCTGCGGCCGCGCCCGGAAATATACCGACCACCGGCCGTCCGACCGACCAACATACGGCGCCGGCCATAGACCGCTCCGAGAACGGGTTAGAGGTGACGGGGAGAAAACGGGATACAAAGGATAGAAGAGGGAGTAAACACGATGAGGTGTGTGGCGATTACTTAGTAGAGTGACATTGACAAAGTACAGACTGGTATGTAGCTAACCGGTAGGGCAATTATGCCACTGTAAATACCTGTAAATACTACAGAGCACCAAAACACTATGATTGCTGTCAGCAACAGCTCAAGCCCGGCAGCACTTCTGAAGCCACACCATAATGGCATCAAAGCACTACCAATGACCAAAGCGCCTGTAATGAGCAAACTTCTAACTGCCCGTCTGGCCAGTCTCCGGCGCCTAACAGTTTAATTCCGTACATTTATTCGGGTCGCCTAGCTGGCGCAAACTCAGCACACCTCTCATCATTGTCATCAAGAGCGATTAGTGGAACTAAACGGCACGTCGTGGAAAGACAAACGACCGGAGCTGCCTGTGACGGCGCTGAAATTGTGCTCCAACTGTGCCCGCTCTCCCACCCAGACAGTTTATCCTACGGTGAGCTTAGTCCGAATGCTCTGAGTACTTCGGGCATCGTTAGCAGCTAGGAACCATACTAACTTCGTTTTCATGCAAATTTTGTCTGGACACAAAGACCATCGCGAGTTTGATAGCACACCATGGTAAATATAAGTGTTTCTAAAAAATAATAACGGATCATTTTAACCCCTATATCGTTAAAACGTACTCTAAATAGTGTAAATTCTACCGGTTTCAAGTTAAAAACTCACAACGACCCAAGGTGCAAAAACATCCCTAACATCAAAACAAATACTACGTCATAAAATAACACCTTGTCACCTCTTCAGGCGCCATCAAAGGCCACCAAATCTTCCATATCGCAGTGTTCACGAACCCCAACGAGCTCAGCCCCACAGGACCATCGCAACAATCCGACCACAGCCCCAGCCCACGCACCTGAGTGACTGGACGTCTTCCTCAGCGACGTGATACGGAAGAATGGCGGCGTCTCTGTCCGCTCGATGGTGTAGTTCATCGACTCGACCGTCTGCAGTTCGGTCATCATCTCCTCGACCAGCTGGTCGGGACGGACGCGGGCCATGTACACCGCCACCCGCCGGCCCTGCGGGGAACAGGGGCGGCATCACCGCTACTTAGGGACACCAGTCGTCACTGCCGGTATACAGGGACACGGGGCGTCGCTGCCGCTATACAGGGACACGGGGCCTCACTGCCGCTATCTGAGGCGCAGTGGGCAGATGGTGAACACATGTTTAATCGCCGATCAGTGGGAGCTGTCCGACTTTCAGGGCAACATCTTCGTCACAATAGAGATCCGCCAATACGTACTACAATATTTGTCATCAAACAATCTAATATCACATGGTGCCCCGTCCGTCCCATGAAAAACAGCGCCTGCCTCTCACGCATGCTATCATCAGATCAAAACGTTCGATTTCCATCGCAGTACTCTTCACCGAACACCTTCTACTAAAAAACCGCTGCGCAATAGTCAATGCCGTGGGAGTCACGCGCGCTCTCTCCCACCGGGGAGACGGTCCCCGGTGTCCGGTCCCACACTGCATTCTCTCGTCGTGTCTTTAACATCGGAGACGGCGCCGAGCCCTTTGGGTCCGGCCGTCAAAGGCCCGGTCACACATACATGACGTACGGCCGGCGCATTGCAAAAAGACCAGTGCGTCGTCGTGCGTTGATGTGTGACCAACTTTTGTCAAGAGTCAGCAGGAAATAGCAACTTTACAACGAATGCACAACGCGCTACAAGCGCTTTGCCAGCGCGCCGGGCGTATACAGGGCACCTACACAGCGAATACAGAGCGCATAAAGCGCGCACACACAACGGATGCACAGCGGGTTGCTAGCGCACGGGACGCAGGGATCGCGCGTACACCGCGCATTCAACGCACAGTCAGCGAACTTCACTTTGCAGCGGCGCAGTGGTCCGTCTTGCCTGTTGTCATATCAGTAGGACTAGGACGCCAAGGAGGGTACATCCTCATCGGCCCTCCATGGAATTTGAAGGGATATCAAGATGTCTCCCAAGGCAAAGGGACGAAAGGCGACCTGCACGAAGAAAAACACTAAATTCTGGCATCAAGAGCAGGAGGAATTGAAAGGAGCCTGTGCACTATGCAGCAATGACGCAGAAGAGTTACCCATGAGGGTAGAAGGAGAAATGAGGAGGTAGGGCGGGACCGTATGACATACGCCAGACGAACGCTGTGCGCGCTGCAGACTCGTTCAGCTCTTGTTTACCACGCCTTTATAGTCTATGCGCATCCGTTAGACATGCGTTTGAGGCACGCTATGTCCGCGCTAGGTATTCGCTACGCATCAGCCGACGAGCACACAACGAATACCCAGCGTGTGTTCCACGTGTGTCTGGCGTTCGTCTTCGTGCGTCGAGCTCAACGCACATTTTTGAGCATGCACAAAAATTGTCGACGCACGCAACGAATGACGACGCATGATACCGTTGGCCCAGCGCACTCGACGAACGAGTAACGAATGCATAGCGCAGGATGACGCACTGGCCTAAATGAATGAATTTTTGGTGCGCGGGCCGTGCGTCGTGTATGTGTGACCGGGGCTCGGGTCAAAGGCCGCAAGTGTCCAACGGACGAAAAAAGCACCGACTGTGCGGCTACAAAGGCATTGTTACATATATAAAAATCAAAATGTCCGTATGTGACGCGTCAGTCACGCTTGACGGGCTATTGCTCCGGAACGGTGCGGGCTACGGGGGTGATATTTTCGACTTAAGTCGGACGCGTGCATCTGTTTGTTGTATTAAATTTTGGAGGGGGTGGGTTCGACGGTTTGCACGTGGCGGGCGCATCTTTGTGGGATTTTGGGCCGCGGCCGGCTTCGAGCAGACGGCACGCGCCTTAGGCTCAGTTTCTTCGCTTGCAAAACTGGGTGAAATCAGAGCCGGAAGGTCACTGACCTTTGGCAATGAATAACGGAACAGAGCACCGCCGGCCAAGAGGAGACGCAATATTCATTCTGGCAATAACTCGGCCGCTACTGGGCCGATTTTAATGAAAATTGATTCATTACGCTGCGCGTAATGCTGGACACCTAGTTATATAATAAAAACGAACTACATGAAAGCGTGATGTCCATCTGTATTTGAGCAAGGTCTTATGTGCACACGTGCTGCTGAATGCACGAGTGCTCATACGCTATCTGTTATGTCACGGTCAGATGAACACCAATGGATGACGAGAATTTTAGCTTGTCCTTATGACCCCTCTCGCTTCTGACGTAAAAGACTTAGTGCAAACACAGGACGATTTATCCAGTCAAACGCACAAGTACGGAGACACAGACGCTGAGCAAACTCACGTGGAAGTGGTACCGAAAACTGACGGTCGTCGACAAAATAGTTGTACTCACATAGGGCATAAGTTCGTTGGGCGCCATCCTACTAATGCCAGTACTCACATAGGGCAGCAACTCATTTGGACCCCACCGGTCCCAGTACTCGGTCACGTAGAGCAGCAGTTCGTTGGGCGCCATCCCCATCCCAGTACTCAAATAAGGCTACTGGGCAGTGGGCATCCTACTGGGTTCGTTGGACATTATCCTACTAACCCCGGTACTTACGTAGGGCAGCAGTTCATTGGGCGCCATTCCACAGAGGATGAACAGACTGCGCAGGATGATCTTGAGGTTGTTTGGCCAGCAGGAGCAGAGTGCTGCCCACAGGTCCTCCAGCTCCTTCGGGTGGTCGTCGCCAATCTGCCGCCATCGCAGGTCAGGTCGGGTCAGGACAGGTCAGATCGGGTCGGGTCCGGGCCAGGTCGGGTCAGGTCGGGCAATGGCCAGGTCATGTCCCATGCTATCAGGGTCAGATTGGGCCATGGTCAAGTTGGGTTATGGTTAGGTCAGGTCAGGTCAGGTCAGTGTCAGGTCAAGTCAGGCTCAGTGTCAGGGTCAGATGAGTTTCCAGGTGAGGGCAAAGTCATTTAACGATTATGAATTTGGGCCAGATCATCCAAGGGTCATCTTCAAAGATGGTGTATCGGACCGTCAACTCTATATTAGTGGCGGGCTCCTGGCTACAAACAAGGACATATCCTTCAACGTCAGTCCAGGTCGCATCTAGAAATAACTCACGCCCGACAACGCACTAAATTGACAGATTAACTCACAACCGTTTCCAACAGCTAATGCATTTTCATCCTAGCTCTGGCCTCACTCCAGCCGGTAAACCGACAATCCCACATCAGAGCAGGGCCCGTTTTTAGCTATCCTAGAACCCCTGTTACTGGGCTGGAGACATCCGTTTCGGGGAACGATCAGCCTACTGAGCTCTGTGCGCTTACATCACACAGACTGGAGACAGGTCCGGTTGCCCTCGCCCTCATCCCTCTCCCCCTCTAACCCCAGTGTGAGCCAGCTCCTTGGCGAAAACGTCTGCGGCAACAGCTGGGCACATTTAGAATTCCCCAAGCTGTGAACGGAACGCCTTCCACGAGTCATTAGGCAGTCTAGCAAATGAGGCCATTTCAGCTAGCAGACAGACGCGGAATAAGATAAAGCCAGCCAGACAATCTGTGCGCGTAAAGCTTAGAAACTGGCAACAATGGCGGAGTGGAGAGCCGCCGTCGCTGTGTTTCCCGTGGCGTGACCGAGTCGTAGGTGACGGTCGCACGCGATGACAGCTGTCACCGCACCGATGACACGCGATGACAGATCTGCCACCGGTCGCGTGCGTCCCACAGGCCGGACAGACGGGAGCGTGCTCGCGTAGTGTTTGTGCGAGCCATTGGCCCGTGCGCACACACGGAGACATGTGCGTCTTCTGGCTGCCGGTTTCAATAAGTTTATGCGTAACACGTCAGCAAACATGCTGCGCAATGCGCATCCCCCGAGTGAGCATGCACTGGGTGCTAAAGATGGTTCAAAATTTATCTGATGGCTTCAAAGAAGATCATAAAGCTCGAAGCATAAGGTCAACGAAGCAAAGTACGTTAAACACCACATGACGCTATAAGTGCGGAATCTTTTTCAGCTTTGAACTCGGTGGACATCCATTTCCCATGTGATCGTGCTTCACATGTAACCCGAATTTCCCGGAACGAATCCGACTGGCCAGACCTTTCCGCTAACACGTGGTCGGCAAAATGTCGCCCGCTAACTCGCTATAGGTCATAGGCGAGGCGCTGTCTTCGCAGCGATTTATCACAACTTAGTGGCGATTTGGCGGCGATAATTCTTTGCCGCGCGGTGTGCCGGCGGCGGGTGCAGGTGGTCTCCGCGGCCCAGCTGCGAAGGCCAGTCGACGGAAACCGTTCGCGGCCCCTTGGAAGGGCGGTCGACGTTCGTGATCCGTCATCATCTGTTCATTGATCGCCGGAGCCGACAGCAGCGGACGTTCGGGCCGCGCCAATCCCGGCACTGGCGAGCTCGCAGTCCGGCGGGGCGACGGGGAGCGGACGGGAGGGGAGGGAGGCGTGACGGAGGGGGGAGAGGGGAGGGTGCGAAGGAGACGAGAGGTTAGGATCGTACGAACCGTCTTACGGATGTGGAAGGCGGAGAACAAGAGGCAGTGTGCAAAGACGGAATGCCGAGTCGAGACAAAGTCGCAAATATAGCCAGAATGGTGTGTGGATTATGAGATGGTCCGTGGGCGATATCACCATCGCTGTAGTGAGCCGTAACGCGCATAACAAGGAATTCACCGGAGATCCGACCACACAGCGTCTGTTCAGATGCCCCAGTAGCCATTAATGACAGTCACATGGGAGCCATGGGGCAAATGTAGTCGCATATTTCGTCATGTTCTTTACGTGCAGACGTCATTCAATCGTCGAAGGCCGCAGCCCGCAAGGTCATCCCCAAATAAGTGCTAAGCCAAACGGGCCATAAATAACTGCAATGCACTACACTTACGAGCATACATTATCATCCCGTCACACAGCCCACTGGTTATATGCCATTAAAAAGCAGCTCTTACCAGAATCACACCACACAGTTCACTGGGTATCTGCAGCTAAAACAGCACAAATCAAAATACCAGCATCTTCCTGAAAATGACTACTAAAGTCGTCACAAAAAAAGCAATTTCCCTTCTCTGCACAACAGACAGACACCATGCCAATTTAACGACACCCTAATTCGTGACACGACAGGGCGGCGGCGGCGGTCGGCTGCGAGTGGCGGCGGTCGGCGGCGCGGGACTGACCTTTGCCGTGATGTAGAGCAGGTTGTTGATAACCATTTCGGTGGCCTCCGCCGAGCCCCAGCCCTCCCTGCGCTGCTGGGCCGCGCTCGACGCCTCAATCTGAGAAAAGTACTGAAACACAGAGGCCGATATGTGAGGAAAACCAGCGCAGAATAGGGCACTAAAAAGACATAATGGGAGTGTACGAGAAACAGAAACCAGAAATAACAGGACTAGCTGCCAGTACAAACTACTAAGGCTCAGTGAAAAAAAAAATAATGGACACATCTCGCACCACAGAGAGGCGTCGAGCATTTACGTCAACACCACACTTCCTGATTCATTACCGCGAAACTGCAGAATAGCGGGCGGGCGGTTTGCACAGCGAGTCTGGCTGCCGCCCATGTCATGCGACACGGGGATCGGGGAGGCAAGATCAAAGACGCGATCAAAGGCGTCGCCACAGGTTGTGCATTACAGGAGGGCGACGGCGACCGCAACAAACGAACAAAGTTGTCCCGACCACCGGCCGCCGGGGTCAGTGGACAAAGTTGAGTTCCCTGGTCCACTCGGCCGGTCGCAAGTCGCGGGGTGAGGTCCGGGTTAGCGCACTACACCCGGCCAGTCACATGTCACAAGTCACGGGTCATGGAGGTGCGTAGGCCAGCCTGAGGTGGTGGCGGAGTCCCCGGGCCCTTTCCGACACAGACAGGGGGAGTCGGCACGCTCTGATCCCCAAATGTCAGCCGGCGGTTGGAGGCGCTCATCACTTCCGGCAACTCCTAATTGGATCATAGAAGTTAAGACTGCAACGGGTCAATCCACTCGAAATGACGCGCGACATTTAACTCCAACTAATTAAGCGCCGTAATTAAAAGCATCAAGAGTTGTTTACGTAAATGGCGATCGACGCTGCCGATGATAAGAATCAAGCAGTACACTTGTGCACATACGCTGTCATTCATTCCCTAATATATCATGCAAATCGCGTTTATTCCTTTTTACAGCACAAGTGGCACGCTGTCTGGGGGCACCATCACCCAGAAACTAACTGATCGCGCTGTCACGTGAGCCTCTGTTTGACCTTTACGTCCCGTCCGTGCCTGATGCCACGGTCTTCATATGCATTGCCTAACTCCGCTACGGCTAGATTGTCTTTCATACGATTCCAGGACACAGCTGTTTGAGTTATCGATCAACTAGCTGCAGTAAAATGCATTGTTCTGGTGATCAGAACGGTAAATAGTCATTCAATCATGGGTTTATATTCCACCGGGATTGATAAGCAAGATCGATTCAAAAGCAAACATAAAATCGCGGAATGAGGTTGTTGAATGAGGCTGCCTCTACGAAAAGGACACTTAATTAACTCATCAACAACGATAACATCATACTGAAAGCACTAACAAAGCTGCAGCCCTGAAAACGCCATTTCAACCGAGATCATAAAGCGTTAAAGCGCTACAGCGTCGTGTTCAGCTCGAAAGATCCACTGGGACCGCCGGGGGGTCCGGCCGGCCGGGGGTGCGATACTCGTCTGACTGCCGGTGGTACTCGTCTGACCGCGGCGGAGGTCCCGACGGCCCCGCCGACGGCCGGCGGCCCTCTCCAATCATGGTTAGCGCTCAAAGTGACCGGGACAGCGCACGTCGTCCCCACCATTACCGGCAAATGGGCCCGAAAGGAGGCTCTGTGCTCACCGGTCATGTCCACGAAACGAACCAACTGCGCCATACCCCGGGCTCTACTACGCAGCCGAAGAGCTTATTTCGGATTATGCCATCACAACAACTCACAGCTTGGAACTTCACAGGGGACATAGCATGTGTTAACCAAAAATACATATCTTCCTTACCATATTTTCTTGCCACTCAAAACTGCGCCACACTATCGACTTCCAATCCTGACAGCGCCGGAGCCTCAACCAACCAGGGAGCGGCTCTGGTGGGCTCTATGCCCCCCCCCCCCCCGGTCACATAAATCACAACCAATAACCTGTCGAGCTTCGAAGAGCTACTGACGCCACACTGTGTCTACAAAAACAGCGAGAGGGCGGCCAAATAGTGGTGACGCACGGTCAAAAGGGTAAGCGGATGTGGCTAACCTGAGCGTGGGCCCAGAGATTGGTGGCTCACGCGGATGGAAGTAGAGTGTGAGCTCTGGATGATGCGGACACCTTATCAGACGAGAGTGACCGGAGAGAGGCGGCGCTGGCAATGTCGTGTATAGTTATTGTACTCTCACTGTACAGATCACATTTTGATAAACGAACTTGCGTAAGCCGTAGACGATACATAGAACGCGGTTGGAATTAGATGATCTTGCATATTTATCCTTGCCCTGCACTAATCATGGGTAAGATGCTGTTCAGCTTCTGTTCTGAGGAATGATGTGAAAAGTAAAAAGAGGTACTATTCTCGCACAAAAACAAATGAATATATTCTCTAATTCACATTCAATTCACTGCATCCGCCTACTTCAATGCACCGAACCAGTAACCGAAACAGACCACCATGCAATGTATCTACGGGTTAAGTATATAAATTGACAAGTGTTGCTGAGCGTATAGGAAGGCCTTAAATTAATTATTGTTCATTTGTTTTAAATTAAGACTAAAGCTAATGTTTAAAAATTGAGGTTTTTTTCGCCCGACGTTTCGCGTTTATTGCTTATTCATGGGCTAATGCTAAAACATAATTTCGTCGACATACATATCAAAAATTCAAATAACATCATTGACAGCACGCTTCACTATAAACATTGTCTTTCGCTAAAAGATATCGTATCCGTTCGATCGATCGATTGCGTTCCTTCGTATACATACGTCCATGCATCCGTTCATATCTATCGCATGTCTTTGATCTGGGATGCTATAATATCATGTAGTTTGAAGAAGCCTGGCGATACGTTTATCACTTTTTCTGTGGAAATGTAAGCGGCCTCTATCAGCCACCGACGTGTTTTCGTTAAACCTGTGTGTATGGCCTGTGCTTCGTTCCAGTTTGGTAGATGTCCTTCTTGATCTGCGTGAATGACTAATGCCTTGGATGTTCTGTGATTACGTAAGTCATTTTTGTGCTCTTGAATACGTTTTCTTAGACCTCTCCCCGTTTCTCCGAAATACGATTTATCACATTTGCTGCAAGGGATTTTGTACACAATACTGTCTGAATCTACTTCCTTTGGCTTTTTTCTAGCAAGTATCTGCCCGACCTTCTTTCCCGAAGCTGATACTACTCTCAGATCAGGCGCCAGCATCTTTGCTATTTGATCAGTTGTCTCACTATTTGGTGCAATAAAATATGCCCTTTTCTTGTCTTGTGCATCCCTCTCTGTCCTGGGCCTGTGTCTGATCTGTTTTGCTTTTTTCTGTAACTCGATCAGTAGAGACTCGGGGAATTTCAACGCCATGAATGCTTTCTTAATGTAATCTAGCTCGTCCTGTAGGAACTCAGGAGAGCAGATACGGTAGGCTCGCAAAAAGAAACCGATGACTATGCCTGTCTTACTTCGCAAGCTGTGTGCCGAAAAATAGTGCACGAAATCATCTTTGTTAGTTGGTTTCCTATATACAGAGAACTTAAACCCTTCTTCAAATCTCCTGATGACTACATCAAGGAACGGAAGTTTTCCGTCCTTCTCCTGCTCTAACGTAAACTGGATGGCTGGTTCGACATCATTGAGTTGTTTTAACAGGTCTTCCACACTACGTTCATTGGGGATGAAAGCTACTATATCGTCTACATATCTGTAAACTGTTGTATCTTCCCCGAAGATAGAAAGGAAGTGCTCCTTTTCAAGCAGCTCCATGTATAAATTGGCCAAAACTGCACTCAATGGAGACCCCATTGCTAGTCCGTTGATTTGTGTGAATTCCTCCCCTTGAAACTCAAAACTTCCAAATCTTATGCAGAGTTCAACTAATCTAATATAATCATCTTTTGGGACCGGAAGTTGGACATCGTCCACTAGATCTAGTACCTCATGAAGGGCCCTCATGGCTCCATCAATTGGAACATTTGTAAAAAGTGATTTTACGTCGAAGCTTACCATGTGTTTTGTGTGGTCTACTGTCTGAATTCTTTCCAAGAGGTCTGCAGAATTCTTTAAGTGTGTTGGACTCATTTTTCCTAGACATTGTGAGAGTGGTTTGGCTAGATGTTTGGCAAGTCTGTGCGGTGCACTGTCGACACCTGATGTGATGGGCCGCATCGGCACGTCCGTCTTATGTATCTTGGGCTGTCCCCTCATGGACGGTGTCTTGGGCTTTTCTTCTAGCAGGTATTGCAGCTTTTTTCCCGGTTCTGAGTTCCGCAGTATTTTCCTTGCCTCCTTGGAAAAAGAAGTGGACTTTTTCTTAGATGTGCCTGGCGCCTCGTTCTGGTAAGTGTTCCCGTCTTGTAGCAGTGTCTTCATTTTGGCTTCGTAATCTTTTGAGTTCATGACAACCACTCCGCCCCCTTTGTCAGCGGTGGTGATGATTATGCTGCGGTCCTTTTTCAGTGAGTCCAGAGCCTGCACAAACCGCTTAGGAACAGTAACTGTCTGGTCCTTGGCCATTGCTGTTAAACACGCAGAGACACCTTGCTTGAAACCCTTCTCTATGTCCGAATCTCCAAATCTATGATTTCTTATCACAAATTCCTGTAAATGCTTGCTTGGGCCACCCACATCGAACTTTAAACCGAGCGATAGCACTGCTATTTCTGTCTTAGTAAGTACACGGTCGGATAAGTTCGTGACCAGAGACATGTTTCCTGCTGTGTTCCAATCACTTGAATCGCATAACTTGTCTAGCTTCCTATCTAGATCCATCCTATGTTAACACATTGAGTGCAGTTTTGGCCAATTTATACATGGAGCTGCTTGAAAAGGAGCACTTCCTTTCTATCTTCGGGGAAGATACAACAGTTTACAGATATGTAGACGATATAGTAGCTTTCATCCCCAATGAACGTAGTGTGGAAGACCTGTTAAAACAACTCAATGATGTCGAACCAGCCATCCAGTTTACGTTAGAGCAGGAGAAGGACGGAAAACTTCCGTTCCTTGATGTAGTCATCAGGAGATTTGAAGAAGGGTTTAAGTTCTCTGTATATAGGAAACCAACTAACAAAGATGATTTCGTGCACTATTTTTCGGCACACAGCTTGCGAAGTAAGACAGGCATAGTCATCGGTTTCTTTTTGCGAGCCTACCGTATCTGCTCTCCTGAGTTCCTACAGGACGAGCTAGATTACATTAAGAAAGCATTCATGGCGTTGAAATTCCCCGAGTCTCTACTGATCGAGTTACAGAAAAAAGCAAAACAGATCAGACACAGGCCCAGGACAGAGAGGGATGCACAAGACAAGAAAAGGGCATATTTTATTGCACCAAATAGTGAGACAACTGATCAAATAGCAAAGATGCTGGCGCCTGATCTGAGAGTAGTATCAGCTTCGGGAAAGAAGGTCGGGCAGATACTTGCTAGAAAAAAGCCAAAGGAAGTAGATTCAGACAGTATTGTGTACAAAATCCCTTGCAGCAAATGTGATAAATCGTATTTCGGAGAAACGGGGAGAGGTCTAAGAAAACGTATTCAAGAGCACAAAAATGACTTACGTAATCACAGAACATCCAAGGCATTAGTCATTCACGCAGATCAAGAAGGACATCTACCAAACTGGAACGAAGCACAGGCCATACACACAGGTTTAACGAAAACACGTCGGTGGCTGATAGAGGCCGCTTACATTTCCACAGAAAAAGTGATAAACGTATCGCCAGGCTTCTTCAAACTACATGATATTATAGCATCCCAGATCAAAGACATGCGATAGATATGAACGGATGCATGGACGTATGTATACGAAGGAACGCAATCGATCGATCGAACGGATACGATATCTTTTAGCGAAAGACAATGTTTATAGTGAAGCGTGCTGTCAATGATGTTATTTGAATTTTTGATATGTATGTCGACGAAATTATGTTTTAGCATTAGCCCATGAATAAGCAATAAACGCGAAACGTCGGGCGAAAAAAAAAACTCAATTTTTAAACATTAGCTTTAGTCTTAATTTAAAACAAATGAACAATAATTAATTTAAGGCCTTCCTATACGCGTATCTACGGGTGTTTTAGCGTCGCATCTCCTCGAACAGAATAGGTTCTCACCTGAAACTTGGCCAGCGGACTCATGGGCTGAATCTTGGGGTCGACCAGCTCCATGTTGTAGAGCCAGGGTAGCAGGTACTGCAGTAGGCGCTGGCGGATCATCGGGCGGGCCGTCTGCAGCCGGTAGGTCACCTCTGATGGAGAGAAGGGTCAGAGGTCAGTTAACGCGGCACATCAAACGGTAGGTCACCTCTGATGGAGAGAAGGGTCAGAGGTCAGGTAACGCGCCACGTCAAACGGTAGGTGACCTCTGCCGGAGAGAGAGACCGAAGGTCAGAGGTCAGCCAACACGTCATGTCGAGCGACAGGTCACCTATGCCGGAGACGTCAGAGGTCAGAGGTCAGCCAACACGTCATGTCAAATGGTAGGTGACTTCTGCCGAAGGGAGAGGTCAAAGGTCAGATAACGTGTCACGTCAAGCTGCAGGTGACTTTCGCGGAGGGAACGGGAGGTCACATGACATAGAACACACCACATCAAGTGGTCTATTTGCAATGCAGCGCACATTACTTAATTGTACATATTTGAGCTGTTTATTATTAGTTACATACATAGGTGGGCTCCCCGGGCCTCATTACACGGACATAATCACCATAAATAGGCACATCTCAGACATAAGGTCAAACAACATTCAACTATGAAACAAAACACATATATGAAACGCCAATGCGGGTAGAAAACTGGAACTACGCGTATGTACACAGCTGCCCGGGAATAGAAGGTGAAATAAACAAGCCATTAGAGGCATTCGTCAGAAACGCATATGGACATCAAATGCACATCTCTTAAACCGTCCAATGACATTGCTCAGACGAGAGGGTGGACAAAAATGATAAATTAGGACTTTGTCATAATAATTTATAAAGGTAAGGTCTCGGATATGTAGTGACAGACATAAATGTCAGACGTGCGGAGCGATTTCAGATTCATGGCGGGCTAAACGCACGGTAGGTTGAAAGTCGACTGAAAAGGGCAGCGATCAAATACGAAGACGTGTGTGCACAAACATTCCAGAAATTTCCCAACAGCCCTGCGAACACTGAAAGTTATACAATATGTTGATGTGTTTCTCTCGGGAAACGCCATAAGGTAAGCAAAAAAGTTATCGCAAGTTAATCATGCGGAGTGCACGGTGCTCGATAAGCTTGAAATTTTAGGAGCGGCTTCGGCCCAACTTGCTTTAATAAGCAAACCAAACAAACAAAAACCCAAAACAAAAAGTAGTCACTAGTTTGATAAGATGCTTCGAACGCAGCAGCACATTCTCTGTTCATTTCAGACCTGTAACGCGACGAAAGCACAAATATATCCAGCCACCCAGCAGAGTACTCGGACCAATAACCTGCCCCGAGGTATATTGGCAGAAGGTCAAAGCCGGCCACTCACGGGTAATCAAACCCTCCGACCGGAAAACGCCCGCCGACTTCCAGCGCTGCCGGCGACAAAATCAGCCGGAAAGTGTCGGCCCAGTGCACAGGACTGAGGTGCCGGGAAGGTCCAGCAATCAATACCGTTAGCGGCCAGCTGGTCTTCTGAGGACGATAATAGAGAGACAGCGGAGACGGGTCTTGTCGTGAGCCCCAGCCGACGGAGAAGCCAGGTTGACAAAGGAGAGACAGCAGGACCCTCACGGGATGTCCCACTGGCAGTAGAGGTAATCATGACTGACGGGAACGGAGTGAGAGGTCGATCCCGGGGCGAAAAAAGCGAGTGTCCCCGAAAAAGCCGCGATGGAAAGTATTGGCGAGGGGATAAAGGCTGATACATAACGGCGAAAATGGCGGGCGAGATGTGAGCGCTTTGGGTGAGCGTGACCTTGTCCTTCTAAAGCCGATTTTCCTTCCGACTTGACACTGTAATTTTCAAATATAACATGTCACGCAAACTTACATTACATATCCTTTTTACGACTCTAAGGACAGCCAAAGAATATTTCATCATCCATGGGGATAGAGTTTGCCAACGCATTATGATCGTGCACACTACACCTGACATGGAACAATTCAATCAAATAGAAACCACAACCATCCACAAAGCACAACAACAACGACTCCGCCAACAGACCTAAGCCCGGCCTACCTGGGTATACCGGCGGTCGTCCTATCCCCTCCCCGGGTCATAAATCAAGTGCCGCTCCCGGTGCGTGCGTGCCGCCGCCCGTCGGCCGACGGCAGGTGCTCGTTTCGGGGGATTAGCAGCTAAGGGGGTCGCCAGCGAGGTGTTCGACACTTACCACTGTCACCTAATGACCGGGATGGGCCGGCGACACGAAAAACGGCCCTCGGCGATAGACTAGTCGCAGCTGACCCAACGGGCATGATGGGTGCGGCTATGGATGTCTGTATCTCCTAAAAATAGCTGGAAAACAGCGGAACAGCTCTCGAGGAGTGCTGGATCAGGAACAACGTAAACCAAATATCATAAAATGCATGAGATTCATGAAGCAGGATTCGATAAAATAATTGCACTTGTCCTCCTAAACTTCTTGTCAGGGCACGTTTTTTTTTCGACAGGCAAGAGTTTGATAAACGAACCACGATACATTCAAATTTCTTTTCAATAAGTTGGCCAGACTGACCGACGCCATGAGACTATGACACTTTTACGACACTGGCGTATCATTCTTTAGAGAAAACAATAAAGTTTGCAGTGACAATCAATGGGAACATTTGCAAACTCCGAACCGATCTGCCACTTCTTCGGGTTCAAAGCCATCAGATACGGATGTATTACCGAATTCCATTCTCTTCACAGTTCAGCTGGCGCGCCCTCAACCTTTCAGCCACCCTCAGACACTATCAGCCCTCTTCGCCTCCTGAACTGAACGCTTGAAGTGACACCAACTAGGGCAGGCTCCGCCAATTTATTGAACGCAGCCTTCCCAGCCATCGGGCCGCTCCTGCCAGGCAAATCGCCTATGTAGAGTGCCGCTGGGACCATTCTGTCAGACGCAGAAGCCCGCCGCTGCTAGGGCATAGTCAGCTGTTACCGGCAGAGGACTGGGTGTGACACATACAGGACTCTATGGTGAGGCGCGCGGCGAAAGGCGACCAGGCAGAGCTGAACGGCGGACCGCGATTAACGAGCGCGCTGCATTTATAAGCCATTGCTGAACGTTGGTAAGATCGTAGGCGCGTGCAGCTCGTGAGGTACACAAATCCAACTCACATGCTCAATGAACGTGGTCGTAAAACGTATCAATCGGCTTCAGCCACACGGCGAAGCAGGAGCGCGAGAATGCTGATAGCGTAATATCCATTCATCTGAAGTTGCTGTAGATCGTCCCCGTTGCAGACACATACTCCGAAAACCGTTCCGTCAGAATTTCCATTGTTGCCTAGACTGACACCCGCTTCCAGCGTACCCACGAGTCCAATCTCAATATTACCACATCAGCAAAGCGCAGCCGACAGCCTGTCGTAATTCAACACCCAATCACACCGAATTCAAACGGTCCCCAACAAAATCTGAACCAATGACGACAGCCTGCCTCTGTCCCAGGCCGTGTCCTGCTAGGAGTGCCGTCACGGGCCGTACCGCACCGTACCGAACTGCGCAACACGGGCCGTGCCGTACCGTACCATGCCGTGCCACGGACGGCGTTTGTGTGATGGGTGGCTGCATCAGGCTGTGACGCGGGCAGAGTTCTGAGGCCGACATGGTCACTCCATCACCGCGATGGCGTGCCGCCCGGGTACAGGGCGGTCCAGTCCGGCGGCCGGGCAGAACGGGGTCTGAGGGACTGGCTGGCTGACGGGTGAGCTGGGCTGGGGTCGGAGCTGAATTGCAGCTGGAGTCGGAATCGGAGCTGATCTGGAGTCGGAGCATGAGCTGGAGTCGGAGTGTGAACTGACCTGGAATCAGAGTTGAGCTGAGTTGGAATCGGAGCTGACCTGGGGTCGGGACTGAGCTGGAGCCGGAGCTGAGCCAGAGTAAACACGGAACCTAGCCACTGAGAAATGACTGTACTAAGTAGAGACGAGCCTGGGATGGATTTGGACCATTCCAGTGCAGAGCCAGAGCACGGCTGAGCTGAGCCAGTCTCAGCGGAGCCGTGCTGGAGCGTCACGGAGCCTAGCCGAGCCCAAACAGGGCCGGAATACAGGAGGAGCCACGCCCGAGCGCAGGAGGAGCACGAAGAGGCCGAGACCGGCCGATGACGCGGGTAATGACGCTCGGCTAGGCCCTCCCGGCCCGGGACACTGCGGCCGGGCCGTATACCGTATGTACAGCTTAGTGTCTCCCCCGGGACGCGAGAGGCGCAGATAAAGGAGCATGATGGCGCCGGTACTGCGCTCTAAAGGAGATTCAACCAAAATAGACGACATTATTCGTAAGGGAAAGCACCGGTAACTCTGAATCTTGAACAACAATGCACATGCATCCGTTGGCAGCCAGGGTTCTTTTAAAGGAATGCACAAGCACATGAAGGTATGCAAAGTTGTATAAAAGAATAAGTGGCATTCCGAAAACTAGGCCCGGAAACTCCTCCTGAGGCTGACGGAATATAACAAGGGTATCAGATATGTTGGAATTCCTTCCAGCACATCTTCGGGATCAGCCCACAAAACTCACTTGAACTTCTTATTTCAGAATTCAGGTTGAAGTTTATGTTTAGGCAACAAAAGTTTCTGAGGGAAAAAAACAATCCTGTAAGTCAAAACAACAAGATTCTCTGAATTTATGGTAGGTATACCATTACCAAACTAAAATGAATGTTAGTTGAACTACGCTTTTCGACATAATCCAAAATAATGAGTGAGCAGCTATATAATTTTGAATATTATCTCCGGATAGCCGCCTAAGTATGTCACTATTGCCAGATTAAATCTAGGCCGTCCCCTGTGCACACATCGCGAGCACTATCTTCACATAGGCATGCAGTGATGCTGCGAACTTTCTGCCTCTCCTAGACACCCGGCCGTCCGGGCTATTCCCGAGTCAACAGGTGTGATCCCCGGGGCGTCAGTAATGTCGCACATCTCGGCGGGACGCCACAAATGTCACACGTCTCCAGGGGGCGCCACAAACGTCACCATCGAACACCAGCTGGCAGCTGAGCTGAGCCCTGTCCACATCTAGCACATATACTGCGCGACACACAACAAAGCAAACTGGGGCGTTCCACGACAAATCGACAAATAAAAAATTAAATTTGCACCCTCATATTTTATTCTTCGTTGAAAACTGGTGTAAGGGGTTGTGATGGGCGGGGAAGCCAGCCGTGGCAAGGATTTTTTTCTTCAAACAACGGTTTCCGAGATATAGCCTCGGGCAATTCCTGGAGTTCGCGCTGCAGCCCTATGTTTGGAGGCCTATAACCCAGAAACTATTGTTTTTTTTACGATAAAAACTTTATATGGTTCAACTCACAATCAACCAACAAACATTTTGGCTATCTCGAATTTTCAATTTTTGAAAATTTTGATCACATGACCTTTTGTCCTATTTTTCGAAGAGTGACCTTGATATTTTCCCCACTGAAAGTTGCAATTTTGTCTGATGACGATTAAAGCCTTATCGATTGTCATTCATATGCGATAATAAAAGCCGTGGTTATCGCCCTGCATTGACCTCAGGTCAGGTCATTTTTATGACCTGTCCATTATTACGAGCGGGAGCGACAGCGAGATCTCGAGAATAAAGCAAGATAGCGACAAGCGGTAAACTGTAAAGGGTACACACGGATAAGGTCTATAATTTTTACTGAGGTCATTTTCAGGTCAGGTCAAAGATGACGTCACAGGAGCTAAAAGGAAGTCAAAATAGCGGCACTATACATATTATTACATATATATGAAGTTTTTTCTCGAATAACTTTCAAGGTATCCCAGCTAGGAACAAACTAATAGCACCATCGTGATCCTCTCGTCGATCCGCATCGAAACGTATGTATGTTGACCTCGAAAGGTCGAAAGGTCAACATACATATGTTTCGATGCGGATCGACGAGAGGATCACGATGGTGCTATTAGTTTGTTCTTAGCTGCGATACCTTGAAAGTTATTCGAGAAAAACTTCATATATATGTATAGTGCCGCTATTTTGACTTTCTTTTAGCTCCTGTGACGTCATCTTTGACCTGACCTGAAAATGACCTCAGTAAAAATTATAGACCTTATCCGTGTGTACCCTTTACCGTTTACCGCTTGTCGCTATCTTGCTTTATTCTCGAGATCTCGCTGTCGCTCCCGCTCGTAATAATGGACAGGTCATAAAAATGACCTGACCTGAGGTCAACGCAGGGCGAAAACCACTTTTTTTTATTATCGCATATGAATGAAAATTGATAAGGCTTTAATCGTCATCAGACAAAATTGTAACTTTCAGTGGGGAAAATATCAAGGTCACTCTTCGAAAAATAGGACAAAAGGTCACGTGATCAAAATTTTCAAAAATTGAAAATCCGAGATAGCCAAAATGTTTGTTGGTTGATTGGGAGTTGAACCATATAAAGTTTTATCGTAAAAAGCCAATAGTTTCTAAGTTATAGGCCGCCAAACATAGGGCTGCAGCGCAAACTCCAAGAATTGCCCGAGGCTATATCTCGGAAACCGTTGTTGGAAGAAAAAAATCCTTGCCACAGCTGGCTTCCCCGCCCATCACAACCCATTAGACCAATTTTAAGCAAAAAATAAAATATGAGGGTGCAGGGCACTTGTCGATTTGTCGTGGAACGCCCCAACTGGTGTATATGGCGGGGAGTGCTACACTAAATCACCTTACAAATGGGCACAGAAGCCAAAGGTTTGTGTTCAATGGTTTAAACCAATGCTCATTAAATTGCGTTTTTTATTAAAACAAACTGAATTATCGTGAAACGGGTATTTAGCATTAGCAGCCTGAACCTTAAATATATTTGATAGATTTGATAGGCGGCGCCTTTAGCTGAGCAGTGAACATTTGCACCTACCGGTAAATATATCTAGTGCGTCAGCAAAAATAAATGACGTGAAAAAAAAAGAGCAGGGAGTGGCGTCAGAACACCGATAAGGTTCACAAGCAGTGGATATGAAACTGTAATAGAGTTAAATGTGATTTCCGCAGAAGCACAGAACACATAGTTATGTTCCAAACGGCATCAGTAATTAAGTATCAACAATTACTTTCAAAGCACGGACCCGTCATTGTCATCACCAAGAAATTCGAGTAGAGAAGAAAGGCTCCCAACAAATACAACACGAAAAATGCATTCACCATTGCTGCTTTACTCCTACCTACGGCATTGCCTTCTCAGAAATTGGCCATAAGTCCCGACAATAGTTCTTTCACAGACAGTGCTATGGGCTGTGCAAAAGCCTAATGGGAACGGCGTCAAAATCGACGCCAAATAGGGAATTGTCAATACCAGCTATTATGGATACACTAGTTCCACTCGCCTGAGGGGCTTGTAACGGGATAGTTGCAGTCAAAGAGGTCCAACATTTGATGACACAGACCATTATAAAGACTGCGCAGCTTGATCAGCTATGATAATTGGACTTGCATAACTTTATTGGTGCATTATAACATCCTACACTCACACATGAGCTGCAATTACTTGACTTACCTACTTGGAAATTACTTGAAAATGCAAAAATCGCAATGACAAAGAAAATATATGTCGCAAATAGAGCCACCATTGAAGACCTTTAATATGAAATATAAGGAACCTTGAAGACAAATATGCTAATAGAGCAATGTAACATGATAAGGACCGGTCCTGAAGGCAGTTTCTTTACTTGTAGTTCATATTGATCCAGCTATTGTACTGGAAAGCCCAATGGAGGACGGTAAATCGAAATGAATTGTGGCATGAATACTAGTATGTAACAGCTTCGTTATTGCTTTTTTTGGCCAGGTTATAGCGAAAAAAAACTTCAAAATTGATGACGTCAAATTTTCAAACTCAATTTTTAGCAATTCTAGACCTCGTAGCGCAAAACAAAGACCACCATTAGACTCCCCGTGACAAGCTGCATCGGATCAATACCCATTTTATGCAAAAATATCAACTTTGAAATTTGACCTTTTTTACATGACCTTGACCTCACCTCCACCAGAAAGTGACCTAAACCGTACCTGATGGTCTTATAACCAACACCATTGAGTTGGAAATGAAAAACTGGCCATAAAACATGCATCGCACAACCTTAGTAAAGTTGGGTTCATGTGGTGACCCTTGGTGACCTTTAGTGACCTGACCTGTGACCTGACCTGGTATGACCAGTGACCTCTAATAGCAACATATGTACTAGACAACTGATGCCCTATCGCTGATTTTCGACAAAATGCGTTTTACTCGGTGTTATAGCGCTTTCCCAAGAAGCGCCGTGAATGGTGAAACATTTTATCTTTGACCTGACCTGTGACGTCATCGGTGACCCGAGGTCAATGAAATTTGGTCTCTCTCGACAAATTTGACAGGGCTAGCGAACGCCGTTTGAATTTTCCGGATCCGTCTAGTAGTTTCGGAGATACGGGGGGGGGGGGGCAAAAAATGCCCCCCCCCCCACCGCGCGGAAGGTGGCCGGGAGGCCCACCGCCTGCCGGGTTAATCAAAAATATACCAACTGGAGATGTACTAGCATTCATTCATAATATGCTGCAGCAGCAGGTGCGTGACACGTCGGCTTCAGCACGCAACCCGTCAACAGGGATGATAGCACACTGGAGTAAAAACGGTGGCATCTGTCATCGACCTTAGGCTGGTATCTCTGAGGATAATCCTGCTATACAATGCAAGGCTGGACAGCACGTAACAAAAACTGAAATAGGTACAGCACGTTTTAAATGTGCATAGGTGTTCGTTTCTGGCGTTCAATGTGCCTTGAAGCCGACATGTCATGTCATATGTGTATGCGTGCTTTCCAATTGGATGCTCGGGTTAACGTGATTGTGTTTTTCATCCAGTGATTGAAACGAGGAATGTTGTTCCTGCATAATGCCAGTGGATCCGTGAGCATTGCAAAGCCAATCGGAAATGTGCAGCCGCACCGCAGCTAAAACAGCCTATATGTGGTTTCATGATGGCACACCCTGATTCATCGGCTAGCCTGGACATGAACTACCCATTACTGGCATTAACCAGTGAATTTACAGCCTAGCCATTATGTCGCTGGTCTATTTTGTCCCGCCTGATGAGCCTCGGTTTGGCGGACCTAAAAACCACGCAACTCGCGAGTGAATAGCCGGTCTTGGGAGCAAATACGTGACGTATGCAACGAAAATTTCACGATTCAAACGTCAACTGAGATTGCTGTCATCACTGAATAAATGCTATAAACCTTGCCAGGAGTGAAAACGCCGGAAAGCAAATATTGCAATAATGATGAGAATGAAATATCATCAGTGGCGTTCGAAGCCGTGAAAAATCAACACTTCGCTTTTCAAAGAAATAAAAGGGACAGTCCACACGATACTGAATACCGATCCCCGGAAAAGGATGCAGAGACCTGTTTAGAGCGAGGTGTTCCTAACTAACGCAAATGCACTTAGCCATTCACATATCACGATTTTCACGCCCTATAAAGAAAACTGGTGGGTGTATACTGTATAAGCTTATACAATGAAAATATAAGTACATTTAAGATATCGAATTTGCATACAAGATATCGAGCAGCAGAACTGTCAGAAAGCCTGATCAACAACATGTTTTGCAAGTGTGCTGCTCTCGGAAGCAGTAATTTTCAGGAGTGGCACTCTGTGCGCAGCGTAGCGTCGGTAGTGAAAAGAACATATGTTTTTGCTTTTACTGTAATCAAAAAGCCACGCAAGGGAGAGAAAGAACTTCTGTAGCCGGTAGCTGCGTGGGTAAGAGAACTTCAGTAGCTGCATGGGTACTGTGCCAATAATTATATTATTTCAATATCTGCGGGGTTAGTGCAAAAACAACTGAGCTAGCTGTGTGATTTCATGCGTCACTAATATGCACAACTGCGGCATTAGAATATCAGATAAACATTTCCCTAAACAAGCTCATGCAAAAGAGACACGCCACAAGATCACGAACAACCGAATCCGCCGCCCGTGGCGGTTCGTACGGTTCGTACCTCGCAAACATCGTATGCCGGACATATCTGAGAATATGGACAATGGACATGGTGGGTGCGGATGGCGGTACGTACCTGAGAACATGGGCATGGTGAGGTGCGGATGCAGCTGCGCCAGCTGCTTGGAGAGGAACATCTGCGACCGACAGTAGGAGGCGGCCAGCTGAGCGTCCAGCGTTCCCTGCTCGCGGCGTTCCTTCTCAGCATCTGCGGGCGAACCGGGCGGGAGGCGGGTCAGCGGGTCACACAGGAGGCACGGCCACAGAAGACACGGCACGGCCGCACGGGGCGGGGAGGGGGGGTCAGCAGAGGACACGGTACGGGTCGGGGAGACGGGTCACACAGAGAGCACGGTACGAGGCGGGGAGGGGGGGGGGCAACAGAGGATACCGTACGGGGTCGGAAGGAAGAGGATCACGCGCTTACCACCGGTTATACAGAGATGGCAAGGTACGGAATGAGGCGGGGCTTCGTACGCAGGGACAAAACGCAAGAAGGGACGAAACGACCAACTCTAATGCCAGTGCTGGGGAGTGAAGTCGCTCAATGCATACGGGCATTGAGCATTGAGCACAGCACGATCGTAACAGCAACCACACACAACACAATACCCCTCTCCCGTCCCACCCCTACCATACATCTCGGCCGGAAGCCATCGACCGTTGCGTTTGCCGATGTCGATACGGCACGCTGGTTTAAAGCCGCCACTCCATCGAGCCTGCCATCCGGACGTCTCGTAAACGCCCGGCCACAATATGTCGCTCGGCAATCGGAGACATGTTACGATCTCGGAGTTTGTCGGCGATGCTGCGGAGCCGTAAAACCATCCAGAGAAGTTCGATAGTTGAAACACCGCGCACTCGGGACGAGCTTTATCGGAACAGTATGCTCATCCGTCTATCGTTTGGCTGTTTGGTTGACAATTTATGATAAAACATAATCATTAGAAACGGGCTTTTTATCATCAGTGGTCAAGATCAGCTTAAGACTTATCCCATAAAAAGCTTCAGATATTAAATGCAAGAAGGCAAACATTGAGAAAAGGTGTATACCACAAAGGGTACAACTGTTGATCCTGAGTCACCGAATGCGCCATGAATCTTTATGACTCGGGCTGGGTATTTCTACTAAATTCACTAACTGTATTTTGTCATTACACAATTTCTATAGTATAGTATTATATTTATTGTAGAGTTATAGTATAGTATAGTACTTTTATAGTGTGCCAGTGGTAGTGTTCCATAGCTATAATGCGAAGTGTCTAGTGACATGCATCTCCACATTCAATGGATAAAGTCCAGATGTTTCGCTGACCATATGAAATCGACCCCGCCCGCCCTCTGAACATGCTCTACTATTCTGCCGCAGGCCCAACAGGTGTCTGGCCGGCGGGAGGACGGTCCAACAGGCGACAAGAGTGTCTGCCGTCTGGCGGTACACTGACTCTAGCTCCGGTCGGCGGCGGCGGCGGCGGGGACGGCAGGGGCGTCTGCGCGCCGCGCCGGGTACGGCGCCGCCGGTGTTCGGCCGACCGGGGTCCCGGCGGGCGGCACTGCTCTGTCGGCGGCGGCCTCGGTCAGACGCGCGGCTCGAGCGGCGTCGGTAGCGGCGTCTCAGACACCTCCCACCTGGTCGACGGTCACCTGACACCCCGCTCAACCAGTCGGGCACTTGGCGCTACCAGCGGCAGACCAGTCCCTGTCCGCTCCTCCACGTCCCTCTGCGACCGGAGCGCCGCTCTCCGCTGCCGAGTACCTCTGGGACCGTTCCGATGGCTCCCTGGGAGAACCTCACCGACTCGGCGACCCTGGCGCTGAACCGGTCAGCCACCAGCGCCGGCGACATGGAGGCCAACCGCACCGACCTGCAGACGCTGACCCAGGTGCTGGACATGCTGGAGCTCTACTACACGCCGCTGATCGTGGTGCTCGGCGCCTGCGGCAACATCGCCTCCATGCTGGTGCTGTTCCTGACCAAGCTGCGCGGCCAGTCGTCGTCGTTCTACCTGTCGGCGCTGGCGGCCAGCGACACGGGCTTCCTGCTGACGCAGCTGGTCGGCTGGCTGGAGGAGGTGCACCTGCCGCTGCTGCTGCAGCCCGTCATCTGCCAGCTCACACAGTACGTGGCCAACTGCTGCAGCTTCACCAGCGCCTGGTTCGTCGTCGCCTTCACCGTGGAGCGCTTCGTGGCCGTCTGCTACCCGCTGCACCGGCCCAGCTTCTGTACCGTGCACCGCGCCAAGATGGTGATCGCCTCGCTCACGGCCATCTCGGCACTGGCCAACAGCTACGCGCTGGTCATCATCCGGCCGATCCCGCTCGACGACGGCCAGATGGTGTGCGACATCGACTTCGGCCGCTACCCGTCCGTCGGCTTCTGGCTGACCACGGTGGACATGGTGGCCACGCTGGTGCTGCCCTTCCTGCTGATCGTGCTGCTGAACGTGCAGATCGCCCGCGCCATCTGCCGTCTGGAGCTGGTGCGCCGCATGATGTACGTGTCCTCGGCCGAGCACGGTACGCCGCGCGCCAACAGCCAGCAGAAGATCACCAAGATGCTGCTGATCGTGTCGTCCGTGTTCCTGCTGCTCAACCTGCCCGCCTATGTGATCCGCGTCTGGGCCTTCATTGCGGTAAGTGGGCGCCACCCCGACCTCTTATCTCGACTTGTACTCCCATGCCCATAAAGTTTCATAAGAGGGAGCGTGAATGGATGCCTTCACGACATCCACCCATGCGACACTTCAGTAGGGAACCATGGATTCAACTGATAGGTACTGATCACCATTAATTATAGCTACTTGAGGTGGACAAATAACCGGCTTCCGAGGGAAATTCTGGGGCGAGTCCTAGGCGGAATACTCGGAGCCTGTCGATGGGCCATGACAGTATCCTCGAGTGATGCATCGATCTTCATACATAGGTAAAGGCACACACAAGTTTTCCAGAAAGTGTCTATGGCCGCGACTCCAGGGTGCTAAATAAGTGATGCGGTACTTACGGGCACAGGCAAACGCACACTTATCAAGACGAATGCGTGGGGTCTGGGAACTGAATACAAAGAATGTTGAGATGTGTACGTAGCACACGGCATGCTGCTTAGCAATACCTATTACCTATTGTTTGATAGGTAACTATTTTAGAACACCAACACCGCAACACAGCCATCCACGTCCCCTACACCGGTTAGCAGCACAGCTGGACTTAAGTTGATATAGATAGATGGCTTAAGACCGGCTCCGGGGTCTCCCACTCAGTCACCAACCACGCAAATCGTACAGAAGTGGGATGATTGAAGTGCGTTCAGGCGGGACAGACACAGTTTTGAAAACAAAGAACGCTGATTTAACATAATACTGTCCAGTAATGCCAAAGTCAACGGCGGGAGCCACGGCGATTAAAAAACAAAACAAAAAGAAAACATTTCAGTTCAAAATACACGTTGCAATTTAACATGCCCACACATATCGTCTTGGGTGGACTGGTAGGTATAACATAAAAATGTTGATGTAATTATATCAAGTTCATCTAATCAAGACTGTTTACACTAGGAATAATGCGATACACTCCCCATATATCCAGCTTTGAGCCCCAGATTCACTCGCTATTTTGAACTTTTAGATCACAGTTGACCAATGTAAACAGTCGAAAGCCGTGTCAATTCCACCTGTCACGGCCAATACGCCGGCCTCAGCGCGTTAGACTACCTTTTGGCACAACAGACACCCTACCCGGACTTCAGGAGAAACTCAGCGACTGCTGCTGTCTACACACTAACATATGATGGCATCACGTCCCATAACAAGATCCACAAAGTACGGCACTTCCACGGGTGGAAATACGCCCCAGAGAGTCAGCAAAGGACGGTACTTGGTCATCAGACGGTCAGCGGATCAGTGTTTCCGTCCGTCAGATGTGCTGAGCTGGGCCGGATCAGCACAGTCCGTCTTACCTAAATATATCCCGGGGCCGGTCAATGGTCTTATATCGAAAAAATTCAGTCAGATGCCCTCTAAAAACACCAGATGCCAGTTGGTAGAATCAAAGCACCGTACCATGCAATGGCGACGATCGGTTACTGCGCTTCCATTTGTCTTGAGCAACACTTGCAGAATGAAGCCTTTTCAAGATCTACTAGATAAAATGTACTCGATAAGACACTTGTGATTCACGCATGAGATAGTCGACAAGTCCCAGTATAAGGTAAAATAAATGACGTGAGCTGCAAATTCATGCTCTGCTTGTCACAGGATGGTCACGTTCAAATTCCGCAAATGCACAGTCGTTCGATCTTATGTAAGGCGTCAACAAGGTACCGAGAACCAATGTTCGTATCCGTCATCGCTCACAGACGATGACAGCGCACTTGACGGTGCCTTTGTGGAGGAGATAGTTTAAGAATAGCTGCACCGCGGGAAACACTGGCGAGCGGCGCCGGCACGCGCCACGACACGTGACTGACGTCCCGGCACATTGCTCAGTGTGCAAGTACTGCTAAGTGGGGGTCATTTTGTCAGAAATAGTCCAGTACCGTAGATGATAAAAAGAGCCATACATGTCAAACATGATTAGTAGTTGGAACTGAAGTGGTGATGAAGAAGGTTCCAAATGAATGACTGCCATTAACACTTCTCCCCCTCTGCCCCACAGACTGTGACCCGCTCCACGACCCGCTCCGACCTGTGGCTGGTGCTGGTGCAGGCCGTGGCACACCTGCTCTTCCAGCTCAACTTCGCCATCAACTTCCTGCTCTACTGCGTGTCGGGCCAGAACTTCCGGCGGGCGGTGCGCGCGCTGTTCTGCGGCACCCGTCAGCCGGCCAGCACACGCACCAGCACCACGCTGGCCGAGAACATCCCGCTGACCTCGCTGTGCCGGCGCAGCGTGCACGCCGTCTGCTCGAACGGTACTGCCAAGCGCGCCGTGGTGCGCGGCTCGCCCATCTAGTGCCGGCGCAGCGTGCACGCCGTCTGCTCGAACGGTACCGCCAAGCGCGCCGTAGTGCGCGGCTCGCCCATCTAGTGCCGGCGCAGCGTGCACGCCGTCTGCTCGAACGGTACCGCCAAGCGCGCCGCGGTGCGCGGCTCGCCCATCTAGGTGACCGCGGGGCGAGAGGTGGACAGAGTGCGCGCGATATGGACGCGATGTGGGTGTGAGGTGGATGTGAGGTGGATGAGGTGTGGACATGTGAGAAAGCGTGGACGCGATGTGACCAGAGGCGGACGATGTGCGAAGTGACGTGAGCGAGATGTGAACGCGAGAAACTATCGCGATATTTGACACTATGCGAATGTGATGCAAACCAAAGCCGAACGCAATGTGAGTGTGACATCCGTTGAGAGGACATGCCAGCGGCTCGAGAATCGCGTGTACAAGTGGCGAGCGATCGCCAGGAGAGGCGCCGTCACGGTGATGAAGGAGTTGTTCCGTGTGCGCCGGTGTCTGCCGCCGGCTGACTGTGCTGTGCGCTGTGACGCTGAACGGAGGCGGCTCAATGTCGGCCGCTCCCGCCGCTCATCGCTGGCTCGCTGTTGCTGTGCTCGGTGACACACCGCTCGCTGTGCGGCCAGCTGCGGCCGCCGGCGGCCGTCGTCACCGGGCCCGTGTCTTCTGTGAAGGCTGTGTGCGCGCCGCCGCGGGCTCTCTGTCGTGTCTCTGTCTCTGTGTGCTCTGTGCTCTCGCCGGCCGCAATAAGAGCTAGGCGTGCCGCCGCTGTGTGTTACACCTGACCGCGCTGAGATTGACATTGCTCACCGCCGAATCCCGAGGGGCAGTCAGCTCACGACCACAGCGATGGCCCGCGAATCAATGAGGCGTCCGCGGCGCCCCGGGGCAGGCCGGCGGTCGGCCGCGGCGGCCGGGGCTCCAAGAGTAGCCGCCGCCGCGCTGGGCTGGTCCGCCCGTCACATGGGAGGCGGACCGGGATCTACAGGCGGCGGCAGAGCCAAGGAGGGAGGGAGGGGGTGGGGGAGATGAGAGGGCGGGGAGGCGGAATGGGTCCTCACTCCTCAGGGAGACGGACCGAGGTTGGCAGCGCAGCGTAGAACACACGCGAGCCGAGACGAAAAATTCAATGTAGTAAACGCAAAGGTGGTTTAAAGACGATTTTTATGAAATAGGTCCACTTCACAGATAGGCATGTTGAATATTGTTACAAGCATAATCGTAAAGCTGGTAAAACATACTCAGAATGACTTACAATAGGAACTTTGTAATGAATAACAAATAATAAATAGTAATTTAACAAAAAAATGGCATTTGATCAAACTACGGTTATAGGTAAAAGTAAAAATAGGTAAAAGCTACTGTTATCTGTGGTAAAAGGCAAAATCATATATATTTGTAAAAGTAAAAATAATAATTCCAGACTAGCAAATAGCTTTATGGTAGAAGAAAAGGGTGATATGCAAATTACAACACCCTGATTCATTGACTGCATGAGCTCACTCACCCTAGACAACCTTCAAAACAAAACAACTGACCGAGCTGCGGACATACCAAGGCCATAACAACGTCGGAGCCCCCATAGCGGCTCATCTTCCTAACGACCCAACCAGAGTCTGCTCTAGAGATCACAACAAAACGCATAAAACCGCAAACCACAATATCCTCCTGCTGTTCCGGCTGTCTCCGAACAGACAACGCTATTCTTTTCTTCCCAGCCAAGTCTGCGACTCGGCACTCGGCGGCACTCGGCGAGGCGTTCCCATCCCAGCCTGGCGGGACGGGCGGCGGCGCTGTACACATTCGATGGCGTATCTATCACCCCGGGCAGCGCGGGCCTGTTGCGGTGTGTAAACACGCCGGCCACTCGGGCGAACTGTGTCCTCTCGGACAATCACTCATCCCGGCGCCGGCAGCAGCAGGCGGTGATGGTGGCGGCGGCAGTACCAGGCGGCGGTGGCAGCGGTGGTGGTGGCGGCGGTGGCGTAGAAGGAGGAGGAGGTGGCGATGGAAGAAACGATGGCATGGTGGTAACGACGGCAATGGTCGCAGCCAAGGCGAAGGTGGCGACGAGCGACGGTACGGCGCTACGGCGTTTGTTGGTAAAAAGAACACCACCGGCCACATGCCGTGCCGAGCGGCGGCGGAGGTGCGATTTTAACGACTGAACTTATACATTCCTCGGCCCTAGGAAAATATCCACACAGGTGAACGCATGAAAGGAAATCAATGAAATGAAAATGTTGCCATTCATATTTCACCAACTCCTCACAGATCAGACGTTTAGAGCAAAGAGAAATGAATCAGCGCATTGGTGCCATAACGCCCATAATGCACTCAGGCCAGCTCTTGTGAGCTTATGCGATAACGGCTAATGGATTTTTAGGGAAGATCGTAATGATAATGCAGATGATAATTAATGAAACTATTTTTGACAGCGGCAAGGAAAAATCGTCCGCCTTAATAAAGTACAGAGAGGCATATACTATGCTCGTTCCGAATAATGTCGGTACTGGTAGTTATCAGATAGATAAAGGTCATCCAATTTACTCACGATGTTACGAGCCGAAAAAAAAAACGACCCGGAATCTGACCTGACTCTCTTGCTTTGCAGAAACAGCCATTGCGGAGAATAGCCGGGCATGCGATCAATGACAACTGTCGAATGTTAACAGCCATCCAATCTTTCAGCTACACATCTCATTGTCAACGCCAATTGTATCTATCACGGTTCGGCAGCTATAGTAGCTGAGAAAAAAAAGAAACAGTAGGTACAGCCCTCTGCAAACTGCGTGGTAGGTATTCTTTTTTTTTCGACAAAACCGACAATAACGCGAATACTATGCCATCGGTCACTCGGAAATCGTAACAGTGACGCGCGAGACTTCGCACCTTAGATTGGCATTATCATCGTGTTCATTTTCTATCCAGTTTGGCAACAAAATCCAAAAGTTTATATTTGCCCCCAAAACAGACTTTTGCATTTTGTTGCCACACAAGGCGTATACTTTGTCTTGTGATGGACCTAATCGAAGAAGTGGAGCATGGCGCATCTATTTGCAGTGAGTTCCGACCGACTGATAACATAGCCTTTGAGTTATCACCGGTTTTGTCGAAAAAAGAATACCTACCACGCAGTCTGCTGAGGGCTGTACATATACGTATGATAAATCCTCACGTACTTCGGTAATCGTTGGGACTGGTTCAAGGAGACGAACAGCAAAAGGGTGGCACTACTGATATAATAAATGCATTAAATACATGTTGTTCACTGTTCAACATGCAAATCAATGTGCGGCAGTTGAGGGCATTGATATATAAATGTGTTGCGTAAAGGTTACGTTGCCGGTTACATCACAACAGCCCTTCCGCTCTAACACACACCGAAACTATTTACCATTAAACTATTCAAATTCTGTAAATCGGGCGGAAGTGAGCTTAAACCAATAAAACGATAAAATCGTTGCTAGGGCTTTGGTCGACTACCAAAACATTCAAAGGAATTGAAAATCACTCCTCAGCTAAGAGGGTGGTGCAGTACCTATCGAATGCAATTAGCTCAGATCGTCAGGCTTCTAAGCAATGCCTCAGAGACGTTAGTATTCTCAAATGCAGTCAGCATTGAATGACGTCATTTGAAGGTAATCCAAGTAACCCAGGTCAAAAGTTACGGCTCCCAGCCACGGCCAATCGACAAGTACAGATGCAAGTTCTGAAGTTGACAGTAACTGCGCACACCAATCCGAGCTATCCGACCCAACTAGCACGAAAAACTGCGCATCCTGCGAATTGCGATGACTCAAACGGATTAACAACACCTCCCGAATAGACTGATGTGTCCGCACTTTTCCGGACTTCTCACGGCGAAAATATTGTAAAAATCCATCCAGAAGACTCCAACCAAGTAATCTCGGGGAGGTGAAATCCCATTTCAGTGCGAGGACACGAAATGCTGACGCTCGAGGACGGCCTAAACGGTCCAGGGGGAGGGGGAGGGGCGGTCGGCACCCCTGCAGGCTGTGACGCCGCTAAGGCTGAAAATGGCCCGCGCGATCATCCTCCGCTCAGTGGGGTCGGGTAGGAGCCTAACGCCGGGGACGGCCGGATGTGCGACGCACGGCTAAACCCGGGGGGTAGTCGACATTCTACAACGAATAAACACTAACATAAAATCGAAAGTTGATAGAGTAGAACACTTCAGTACAAGTGCATGATGGCAATGAGCTAAACCATCCTGACCTGAGGCGTGGCTACTGGCTACTGTATTGAGGTGTTAACCCTATTCCTGGCGGGCTCCGCCGGGACAAGAAACTGGCGGGGGGGCCGATTCGGCCCCCCCCCCTGAGATCTCGAGAACGAAGCAAGATAGCGACAAGCGGTAAACGGCATCGGATACGCACGGCCAAGATCTACAATTTTTACAAAGGTCATTTTCAGGTCAGGTCAAAGATGACGTCACAGGGGTCGAAAAAGTCAAAATGGCGGCACTAGATATGGAGAGAGTTTTTCTCGAATAACTTTCGAATTAGTCAAGATAGGAACAAACTAAGGGCATCATCGTGATCCTCTCGTCAATCCGCATCGAATGATATATATGTTGACCTCGAAAGGTCAAGGTCAAAGGTTGACCTCAGGTCACGTGACCTCGAGGTCATCATGTATATCATTCGATGCGTCTTGACGAGCTGAACACAATGAGACCATCCACGCGTCTGTATCTTGTTCCTGTACGGAGTTATTGGCCAAAAACCTTTGGTGACCTTTGATGACGTCACATGACCTCACAGCTGCCCAACAGCAAAACAGACCTCAAGGTAGTGAAGGTTGATCGTATATGAAGTCATGTATGGTATATGGGGCCATTCCGACCCGTTTTAGTGGTAAAAACAGGGAGTTGATTTTTCCCCCATTGACTTATAATGGGGAGGTCGCGAAATTGACCTGACCTTAGGTCACTGATATCAAAATTCCGAGATATACAAATTGCACATACTGGTACCCTAACTAAACCCTGAAGAGAAGAAATTGATCGGTCAAAAACTCTAGCTCTGGCGTGATTGCAAACTTTTCTGAGGTAGCGTCACCAAACCGCCTCTGGTGACCTGACCTGAGGTCAGATCAACTCAAAATTTTCACACATGTTGCGTAGAAGCCTTTTAGGAAAAGTCAGAAAATTTGAGCTTCCTAGCTCAACGCGTTTGGGAGATATAACCAAAAAACCTCAGGGGGGGGGGCTCCTGAGGCCCCCCCCCCCCCGCCAGGAATAGGGTTAAGCCAAGCAATAATTCAAGTTGCTTGATAAGCCAGAACGAAAGAAAATACTATGCTAACGCTACTTCGGCCGGCCTTTTGATGTTAATATATAAATTATTAAAATGTACATCAAATGAAAGTGTCAATATCAAGTGTTCAACAAAAGCCAACAACTTACACTATTGGTGTTATATGCTACTCGGAAAAGTTTTTGCCATATATTCACCTAATTTAGTCACTGCAACGCATAATGAAATACAATCGGTGCTGATCCAATTTAAGAATAAATAAGTCAAAAGAAAAACAAACAGAATTGCTATTATCGTGCCTTGTGAGCTTCAAAGGACGGTGAACACTTGCAAAGTAAGCCATGGCTGCCTCGTTAAATTAACAATTGAAGCATTCTGGCGCTCAAAGGGCATTAAAAAGCCCTCTTGAATTTAGGTAAAAAGAGGTTGTTTCCGAAATATGTAGAGGGGCTTCCCAGTAAACTACAGCACCCGCTGCGTCA